ACAAACTTTTCCACTAAAAGAACTCTTTTGCCTTGAACAAATAATTCTAATCTTGAGTAGTAGTGTATATTTTATGCATTGCATCTATCATTGAAAGAAATAGATAAGAGATTGTAATCTTTGCATATTAGAATATATTCAAATTCTTATGTGAATGATATTTTTGTTCAGTTAGAGCAATTATTACATGGACCTTATATGTATGAACTTAAACACATAATGATTATCATTTTTGGATAATACATTATAATAAAAATATATTTTCTAGGTCTTGTTTCAATAAAGCTTAACTCGGAGGAAACTCTGATATATCAATTTTGTCATGGCTACTTTAGTAACAAATATTAGATTTACCCCTGCTTTTCATTCCATTTGTGCAACTGCGATGAGAACACTATCTACCAAAGCAATGCTAAATCCCAAAGATGATGCAAAAGAAGTAATACTTAAATACTTAGATGGGAAAGATAATGGCATTGTAGTATTAGGATTCAATCGGCCAGCTAGTCGCAATGCTTTTGGAAAGACTTTAGTGAGCCAACTACGTGAAGCCATTTCTTGCATTAGAGAAGACACCAAGTTACGAGTATTAATCATCCGCAGTCTGGTTCCAAAAATATTTTGTGCTGGTGCAGATTTAAGAGAAAGATTAAAAATGGACAATTCAGAAGCCTCCTTATTTGTTTCTTCATTGAGAGACATTATGAACAACATAGAATCACTACCAACTCCAGTGATAACTGCTATAGATGGTATAGCATTAGGTGGAGGGCTAGAACTGGCACTAGCTACTGATATCAGAGTTGCATCATCAGAAGCTACAATGGGTCTTGTAGAAACAAAATTAGCCATTATGCCAGGTGCTGGTGGAACACAGCGACTTCCAAGGATAGTTGGACCTGCTAAAGCAAAAGAACTCATTTATACTGCACGTATATTAAATGGTGAACATGCTATGAAGATTGGTCTTGTTAATGAAGTTGTTCCCCAAAATAAGGATGGAGATGCTGCTTATCAAACTGCTTTATCTATTGCTAGGGAAATACTGCCTAATGGACCCATTGGAGTAAAGTATGTATTAAACAAAAAGATGTGTTAATACTCATGAAATTGAATTAATATCCTATTTCTTTTACATTTTAGAGTATCGAAAGTAGCAATATCAAATGGCCTTGAGCTACCTATTGCAGATGGGCTTGAAATTGAAAAACAATGTTACAGTCAGATTTTGGATACAAAAGATAGAATTGAAGGACTTGCTGCATTTGTATCAAAACGTGTACCTGTTTATCAAGGCATGTGAATATATAAGCTCGATGTACAATACATTTTACAATACCTTAATTACGATATCAGAAAGCTGCAGTT